TGCCGCCGGGATGCGAGGACAAAGAAGTCGGTCACATCGTAGACGTCGCCGTAGAGAACCGACCCAGCAGCTCTCGGGCGTGTGTGCTTGGCGACTGATCGAGTTAGCCGGGCTGTCTGGGGTGCCTGTACATGATCGGATCATGTTCATAGGGGAGAGGCCGTCCGTCACTCACCTTCGTCGGCCTCAAAGATGGTCGCCATGTTGATGTGTCTGTTGCCCGCAAACGGTTTCAATTCGATTGAAGGGAGTGAAGGCAAGGTGGAAGCGTTCCCCGGGACCGGGCCTCGAGGAAAGAAGAGACGATCCGTTCAACCCATGGACTCGGCGGCAATTGTCCCGTGGGGTTGTTGAGATGGGGGCAAGGGGGGGCAAGGGGGGGCAGGGGGGGGCGCGAGAGAGAGAGGGACCGGTGGGGGAGGCCTGGGAGGGTAGTTGGGGGTCAATGTGGGGCCTGGCTGGTCAAGAGCGAGTCGTTGGGCGTTCGTAGGTCATTGCAGTGCTGCGCTGGTACAGTACTGCTGCTGCTGCTACGGTACACGCCCGGCAGCTTATGTCAGCAGACCGACGTCGGACTGTCGGCTCGAGGCGGCAATCGACAACGAGCGTTAAGGCGGCGAAGAAAAAAAGTGTGGAGCGTCATGGGCATCCAAGGCCCCGTCTTCGTCATTCTCGATAATACGAGCCGAGCTTCGGAAGCATCCTCTCTGAAGCATCACAACCACGCCAGCATCGCAGCCTTCTGACAACATCCAGTATAGCCTCGTCGAGCCTTGCGTTCCCTGCGACAGATCCACGGCCATTTTTTTTTTTCTTTTTTGGAAATCGATACTACCACGACTTCAACTCACGCAATCTTCCACCGCCAGGCATCCTGCGCCCTCTTTCCCTCGCCACCCATGATGCGCACACACATCACATCCACCGCCCGCCTCTGCGCGCGGTGTCGTCGACAGACTGCGTCTTCGCCTTTGGCACCAGCACGCCGCAGCATCTCGAGCACATTACTCGCCGCGCCTCGCGTAACGTTCGCCGTCCAAAGACCAACCCCGAGCCCCCGAGCGCGCTGGCTCTCCCAAACCTCGACCCTCACAAAACCCGACTCTCCCTCGACATCCTCCCCCTCCTCCTCCTCCTCCTCCGCCACCGCCACCGCTGCCGACGCATCTCCCTCGCAGTCCAAGATCCCGACGACCCACTACGACTTCTTCCCGCAGACCCTCCCCTCCGGCCCGCCGCCCGCCGGCCACTTCCCCATCGACCAGCGCACGCTGCGCCGCGAGTTCCTCCAGCTCCAGGCCAAGGCACACCCAGACCTGCACCCAGCCGCCCACAAAGCCCGCGCCGAGGCCACGTCGGCGCGCATCAACGAGGCCTACAAGACGCTCTCGCACCCGCTGCTGCGCGCCCAGTACCTGCTCGCCCTGCGCGGCGCCGACGTCGCCGACGCCGAGACGCTCCAGGTCGACGCCGACCCGGGCCTGCTGCTGACCGTGCTCGAGGCGCGCGAGGAGATCGAGGACGCCGCCACCGAGGCCGAGCTCGAGGGCCTGCGCGCCGCCAACGACGCGCGCATCCGTGCCAGCGAGGACGTTCTCGAGGCTGCGTTTCGCGGCGACGACCTGGAGGCTGCTAAGAGGGAGGCTGTGCGGCTGCGGTACTGGGTCAATATTCGGGACAGCCTTGATGCGTGGGAGAGCGGGAAGCCTGTTGTGCTGGAGCACTGAGGCTGTCTGCTGAAGGCAGGAGAGCGCAACCAGACAAAAGTCGAACCCCGATGAAAGCTAGAAACGCTGCAGGGCAAACGGAATCCGGGGTGGGAGAGCTTGTAAAATAGCAAGATGAGATACGGCTCGGCGTTTTCTTCGAAAGGCGGGACTGCGGGTGGTCCCGAGCAGAGAGATGGGACGCAGTGGTGCGTCGATAATCAGGCCATTGTGGGCTGATGTGTATCATGCGTGTGTACGGTAACGATACCCGATATGCCACTCTGTACACCAGTAGTGAAATACAGGTGGAGACAGCCTCCTGCTTCGCCGTGCCTCGTTTTACTGGCATTTGCGTCGGTCTGGTTGTGAAGAGTGCAGGTTGCTTGCCCTTGCACTCGGCTCTCACTCTCGGGAGGGATCGCGTTTCAACAGTCACTCATGGATGATGCTCGGAGGTCACGCAAGTTGTCAATGGAGCTCTTTCCATCAGTACTTGACACTCATTTCGTACCCATCATGTAGTTGAGGCCCAGCGAAAATGGACAAACTCTTCATGTCGGATCTTCGATAGTTACCTTGAGCGCTTCCAAAACCCCTATAACTCGAGGCAAATTCTTGTCAAGATGATGCATCATCCATCTCATTTACACCAACTGATAACGTCCTTGCGAGCAAACGTACACGAAGAAAATCCACAAGCCCAGAAACCCGCATTGCTGTCGCAGTAACACTTAAAGGAGAGCCAGACACCCGCTCATGACAACAGCGAGCAAAGCAGTAGACCAAGCTCAGTGCTTCTTGCAAGCCTCCCTCACGGGCGGCACGTCCTCGGCCCCCCAGTGCGCGGCAAAGGGGTCATCAGCCGGGTCGAGCACGCGGTTGTACTCGGTGCCGATGGCGAGGCGCACAGCCTCGTCCTCGCCCCAAATGTCCGAGATGTAGGCAAGCGCAGCGTCGATGCCGGCGCTGACGCCGCTCGACGTGTAGACGTTGCCGTCGACGACCCAGCGGGCCTTGGCGATCCAGTTGGTGGCGGGCCCGAGGGCCGTCGTCTGGGCCCAGGCGCGTTTGTTGGTCGTGGCGTTGCGGCCGTCGAGGACACCGGCGCGGGCGAGGATGCCGGCGCCGGTGCAGATGGACATGATGTGCTGGAGCGAGGGGTAGACGTCGCGGACGTAGTCGATGACCTGGGTCACCTCGGCAATATTGGCGTCGCGGGTGCCGGCGCCGCCAGGGACGAAGAGCACGTCAAGGTCCTTGGGCGGGTCGGAGAGGGTGTGGGTAGGGTTGACGGACTCGGACCACCGGGAGCCGACGCCCGGGTTCCAGGGGGGGTAGGTGTGGACGGGCTCGAGGGTGGGCGCGATGATGTGCAGGTTGATGCGCTGGGTGAAGGAGAGAATGTTGAATATGTCGAGGGGCCCGAAGACGTCGAGGGCCTGGAAGCCGGTGAAGAGGACCATGCCAAAGTTGACGGGGCGCGTGTCGTTGGCTGGAGCATCGCTGGCGGCGGCCGTAGCGGCGGCCGTGGCGGCGGCCGTGGCGAAGAGCGCCGACAGTGAAAGCGTGGGCTTCATCGCGGTGACTCAAGTTGGCTCCGTGAGCGAGTATATGTTGGGGATAAGATCAATGGCAAGGCAGCAAATCTTGCTCTGTGATGCTAAAGAAGAATGAGTTCGACGAGTTGTTTCGAGCATCGTATTGTACGATTCACGAGGCAAGCCCGGGACTTGATATAGCTCCGAAGCGAGCACACCATGGCATGGACAGTCGGCTTGAGCACATTTTCGCGATCCTTAGATTAGCCTCACCCTGGGCTCGCACAACATGTGGTCGAACATGTCGGGGTCGCCAATCAAGAGCCAGCGAAACTTGCTCGCAGTAAGCCCTTGAACGTTCAGGTTACGGAAAACCCACTCCGTCCCGCATTATGGGGTTCACCGGGAAGAGGAGGCGACGCAGATGACATGGCCGATGCAGCAGCTTGCTCGCGTCTTCGCTAGGGAGGATCCGGCTCCTTGCTGAAGGGCGTGTCTTGGCGGGGGATTGCCCAGATTGCGTGCATACATTGCTGATCGTTGCACAGTGTTGTCTCTCGGGAGTAGCGATGGAGGCTTCCTAGGGTGGGCGAGGCTTTGGTTCTTGGATGCAGGCAATATTCCGTCAGGTGATGTTGGCACTCTAGGTTCTGTGCCGCCGTCAGCCTGAGGTGGTATTTGAGCTGGGATACTCTGGTATCATGGCTGCGAGGTGTCAATTTGGTGATGGATATCGAGCACAGCCCACGAGTGAGGTGATTGTGACATTGCCTGACGAGGCAGAGAAGCTGTCGGCGAATCCAAGTACGTGGTGCTGTAGGTGTAGGATGGAAGCTTGTCGTTCAGTTTAGGTGTCTCACTCCAGGCGGCACTTCAGGAAGGCAGAGACGGTCAGAGGGGCAGCGGCAGGACCTCTTGATGCCCCGCCCGCCGGAGGAGCTTCAGGCAGGTGCAGCTACCCCACACCGACCTTGGGACCTTCCACTCCTCAGCTTCACATGACGACGACCATCACGACCACACCACTTCAGCAGGCTGCAAGCCATACCGCCGCGACTGCTTCCGTCTGACATCCGACACCGTTACCAAGCTTCTTCCGAGAAAGAGTTTCTTCCGAGAAGAACGAATCAAGCACATACACACCCGCCATCATGGCGCCCTCGGACAAAGTTGCAGAGCAGCTCGCCGAGGCCCGCTCTGCCTCTGACCAGCCCGCCGCCTTCGTGGCCATCATCGCCGACATCAAGAACCTTTCCTCTCCGACCACGATAACAGGCGACCTCAAGGCCATCCTCGATGGCCTCTTCGACTCTTCTCTCGGCATCGTCACCACAAGAGCCCTCCTCCAGTCCTTCCTCGCCACCCTCAAAGGTCTCGCGAACCATGACATGTGGAAAGATGTCGGCGCCCATCTGCTCCACCTCTTCACGACCCAGCAGCCCTCATCCTACCTCTCCGAGACGGCCCAGATTCGCGACCTCATGGCCACGGCCCACGAGGCCAACGAAGACTTCCTAGAGGCGGCCAAGTGCCTCGCCGAGATGCCCCTCGACTCCTCCCAACGCAAGGTCTCGCACGCCGACCGCGCCCGCGTCTGGATCCGCATCGCCCGCAACTACCTCGAGGTCGACGACACGACGGCCGCCGAGACGTACGTCAACAAGCTCAAGAACATCATGCACGACGTGGCCGACGAGAAGCCCCACGACGCCCGCGACCTCGACCTCCACTTCCGCCTCAGCCAGGCCCGCGTCTACGACGCCAAGCGCGACTTCCTCAACGCCGGCGCCCGCTACCACGACATCAGCCTGTCGCCCGCCATTGCCGAGGACGAGCGCCTGCACACCCTGAGCATGGCCGTCAAGTGTGCCATCCTGGCCCCCGCCGGCCCCCTGCGCGCCCGCACCCTCGGCCGCCTCTACAAGGACGAGCGCGCCGCCGCCCTCGACGAGTTCGGCATCCTCGAGAAGATTCACTTTGACCGCCTGCTGAGCCGCGACGAGGTCGACAAGTTCGCCCAGGGCCTGCAGCCCCACCAGCTCGCCACCACGGCCGACGGCTCCACCGTCCTCGCGCGCGCCGTCGTCGAGCACAACCTCCTCGGCGCCTCGCGCCTCTACGCCAACATTGGCATCGACGCCCTCGGCGTCCTGCTCGGCCTCGACGCCGACAAGGCCGAGGAGACGACGGCCCGCATGATTGAGCAGGGCCGCCTCGTCGGCCGCATCGACCAGATGGACCGCATCATCTGGTTCGAGCGCGGCGAGGCCTCGGGCCAAAAGGGCAGCGGCCGCGCCGAGGTCGTCGTCGGCAAGCAGATGCGCCAGTGGGACGCCAACATTCAGAGCGTCGCCGAGGAGGTCGAGAACGTCACCAATGCCCTGCAAAAGGAGTTTCCTGTGAGTGCCCCGTTTGCGTGTCCGTGCTGCCGACGGAGCAATTCTAATGACCTTTTCTAAAACAGGACTTTGTGGCCAAGAACCTCCTCGTGTGAAGCAGGTGAAATCATGTCAACGCATCATCATGGGGAAATCGGCACACAGGCACACAGACACACAGGCACACAGGCGTTCAGGGGATCGGTGTTCGGCGCATCACGAACGAGAGGAAAAGAACCAAAAGCATCAGGCCTAGCCTGGTTCACGTCTAGACGGCATTCCGTACATAGAAACGGGCCACAATTGAAACGACGGCACACACAGCATGACCGGGTAGCGAGTCGTTCAGAGAGAAGAAATGACAGGAACAGAAAGAGGAGCAACCGTTCAATCCAAGTCTTTCAGCCGCACAATGACATAGCCCTCGTGAATCAGGCTCGGATCCCCCGTCTCCTCCTCGAACAGCAGCTCGTCCTTGGCGTACCGCAGCATCCTCCTGGCACGCCGCGTGCCTTGGCTGCCGCCGGCCCCTGTGCCTGCCGTCGCCTCCTCGATCATGATCTTGATGAGCGCGTCGGCGACGTGGCCGCCCATCCACTCGTAGCCGCTGGGCGTCAGGTGGACGCCGTCGTCCCAGTAGAGGGTGCGTTTCGGGGGTGGCAGCGCAAAGTAGGGGATCGCCGAGGCGAGGTCAAAGGCGTAGCTTTTGGGGTCGTTGTCAGTCATCATGCCGGGGCCTGCAACGGTCTGCGATGGGGGTGAAGGGCGTGGGAAGGAAGGGGCAGCAGTAGGTAGGGCAGTCGGCAGGGTAATGTCCGTTTGCCCCATGCAGCGGCGTCATGGCGGACTCAGCGTAGTGTATGTAGTAAACAAGAGGCCGAGCAACGCGAGGGGCATGGCATGCTGGAAAAAAAAAAAAGGGATGTGAAGAAACTCACGATTTCGGGTCGTCATACGCCATGACGCCCTCATTCACCGCCCGCCGCGCATCCTTCACCCACGGCGCCCTGGCATGCGTCTCCGGCACCGTCAGCGCGAGGACCTTGCTCCCCTTGTCGAGCGCGATGCGATACGACTCCTTCAGATTGTCGACGATGGTCTCCGGGGCGATCTTGTACGCGATATCACTGCGCGTGTCAGCAAGCCCGCTTCCCCGTTCTGATCCCCTGTGGGCCCAGACATGACTGATGGAATACGACGTACTTTGTGCCGCCGAGGATGACGACCCAGTCATACGGCGTCTTGGCCTCGTCCACTACGATGCAGGCGCTTCAGTCCACGTTGCCATTTGTCAAGATGGCTGTGAAGCAGTCGGGGAGATGGAAACACTGACATTCGGCCCTCAGTCGCCTGTTGAACGCTTCCGCGGAGACAATGTCGCCCGGCATGCCATTCTCGTGCACCCGGACGTCGGCGTCTGGGAACGCGGCCGCGAGCTTCGTCTCGAGGACCTCCGAGTACGGCGTGTAGGAGCTCCCGAAGCCAGAGTACCCCGCCGTCAGGGAGTCGCCGAAGCAGAAGATGCGGAGGTCGCGTTTGGACGGCATGTCTGGGCTTCCGGCTTCCGAGCTGAAGTCGCCCCTGTCGGTGCTGTGCAGTATGCTGTATCTGGCTTGCCGGGCGGTGGCGGGTCGAGTGGGAAGGGAGGCCTCGAGCCTGGGGCAGGGGAGCAGGGGAGGAGAGGCCTCGAGCCTGGGGCAGGGGGGGGGGGCAGGGAAAGGGATGTGCACCCTTTGTAGGCTGGTTTGACAAAGAATATGTTGGTTCGAAAGATGAGAGAGTAGGTTACAAAGAAGGGCGACGGACAGCTTTGAGCGAGCTATGCACGGAGATAGTCACTTGGGGTTGAAGGTGTAGAGGTGAGGTCACAGGTCCGGTGCCTGGAGCCGGACGCTCGGGTGGGGAACCTGGAGGTGCCTGAGCCATGTGGGGCCGTGTCAGGGTGGGGGCGATACACCGTTGCGTGATGCGCGCTGCGTGACGCTTGCATCTGCTTCCGTGTGACCATAGGTAGGTACAGTCATACGACAAGAAAAACGACGGATTTCCGATCTCACACCAAAAACAGATAGTTTTCTAACCTCTATTACTTATTCTGCAGAAGACTATAAGTAATAATGTTAATAATACTAATAGAACTTTACTGAATCTATAGCTCCTACTATTTATCACTAACGTCTATTTTACTTATTTTATAATAGTATTTTAAAAGTCAAACAAGTATTTCTCATAACGGCAATCCGTCGTTCTTTTTGTCTCCCCACTGTAGCTTGAGCTCTTCGCTCCCTACAGCAGAACCGCTAGTCGTGGGCCTGTCAAGGTTATCATGTTCAATCTAACCGGCATGCACAGCGAAGATCAAAGTTGTGACATGTTCGGACTCTCAGGGTCTCTTCCTAAACAAATAGACCATCACGTGCATCACCAAAGTCAACCGCCATCTGTCATCAGACTGTTCTCAGTCGTAGTATTATGCCAAGTGCTATCAAAATCAAGACAGCAGACATCCAAGATGCCGGGTATCAGATTGCCCATTTCTGAGCCATGAGACATATTCCGTCCAGATCCACGCTCCCATGCCCTATGCCCGTGCCGCATCCAAATAAGCTATTAATAGTCAGTAATCACCGTCTTCCTCTCGCTCGCCGGAGCGGCATCAAGCCAGCTCGACATTCGTCCATCGCCCCCTCTCCGTATGCCACCACTTCTCCTTCTCCCGGCGGTCCACGTTACCGCTCGTGCTCATGTTCCACCGTCCGAAACAGCCCTCACGCTCGCTGATGTCCTCGCCGCATTCGCCCATGACATCGTCCATGTCCACGAGTCCACCCTTTTCGTCCCGCGCACCGGCATCAGGCATCGAGTCGTAGCGAATCTGGCTGCCGATCGTACCCATGAAGCCTGCCATCTCATAGTCCTCGACCGTAGAACCCTCCTCGTCGACGACCTGCACCGCAAACCGCGGTGCACTGCGCGCCGCCTCGAGTCGTCCCTGCGCCGCCAAGCGGGACTCGCGCAGATCGCTCGCCTCGCGGAGGAAGCTGCCGCCCGATGGACTGAAGGGCGTCAACGGCGTCTGAGGCGTCATCGGTGTCATCGGCGACTGACTCCTCCCCCCAATGCTCGCACCGCTGCTGATGCTGCTACTGCTACTAGAGCTGGTCAGCGAAGCGAGGGTGTTGCTTCGTCCCATGGGGAACGTGTTCTGCCTTTCGGCACTCTGCGCCGGGGTGCGGAAGCGATCGCTTGCAATCTCGGCGCGTTCGGCTGGCCGGCAGAGCGACTGGAATATCCCCTCTGGATCCGTGGGGGCCCGCAAGGCCACGAGAGACGGGAACCCGTGCGCGGCGATACTGCGCGCGAGGATGGCGTCGGCAGCGCTTGCGGCAGCCGAGTGGCTGGTGATGTCCCAATGCAGCCTGCGGAGCGAAGAACAGGCGAGGTATGGCATGAGCCAGATCATTGTGTCTTCGGGAAGTGTCGGTGCGAACGTCTGGACCAGAGAAAAGACCTCTAGATAACGCATGTTTGAGAAGATTCGGACCAATGCTGGCAGAGAGTCGAGGTTGACGTGACGAAGAGTCAATCTCGTCATGCCCTGCGCAGCCTGCGACGTCGCAAAGGCAGAAAGGCCTGCGCTTGTGATGCCCGAGGTATGGGCAAGGGAAAGGGTCTTCAGAGGCGGCAGCACCGAGAGCGTCTGGTCGTTGAAGGCGGCATGCGACAGCCTGGAGAGATACAAGTGCTCTAGAGCGGGGAGCTGACCCAGGATCTTGACAATCAGACCACCAGGCGCAAGAGTTGCTCCTGGGAGGCAGTGTATGGACAAGGTCTTCAGGTTGCTCCAGTTGGCATGGCAGTCGAAAAACGCTGCACACTCAGTAGGCTCCAGCACGCCATGGGGCCCTATCCTGCGCTCCATTTTCAAGCCAGCTGACTTGCCAGAACTAGAGCCAGGGCGCGATCCTGGGCGCTGCGGGGCCTGGAGCACGGGTGCGTCGATGATCCAGTCCATCTGCTTCAGGTTCACCCGCGTGGAAAGAGCATGGAAGAGGCGACTAAAGGTGTGATCGTACCGAGGGTGGAGGCCGACGAGACGTTCGAAATTGGGGCACTCCATAACGATGGTGGCGATGAGGTTGTGGTATTCTTCCTTAGTGGAGCTGATAGGTTGGCTGGGCACCTTCAGTGTGCGGACAATGGCAGCAAGCTCGGGGTTGGCCCTCAATGTACGGCGCAGAAGGACCAGCCTGGCGCCGTGGGCAATTTTGTGTCGCTTCTTCATGGCAGACGAGTCTGTTCCATTCAATTGAATGTCGTCATACCTGGCACGGTTAGCTGGCGGTCATCATGTGGACCTGCGCGAGAAGCTTACAATGCTATCCTCGCCGCTTGATGACATTTGCGCGAAGCCACTGATATCGAGGACAAGTCTCTCATCCAGCACGTCGCGCAGCTTTCGCTGCCTTTGCCTAGGTGAGACTCCTTCAGCTGGCCCAGGACCATGCCCAAGACCTCCTCAGGCAGCGCGGCGAATAGCTCGCCGGGCTGTCTCTTGTGCGTCCTGAAAACGGTCCTAACGGGACTCTGCTGGTGTCGGAACTCCGGCCGCCATGCTGTGTAAGGTGTTGCATGCTTTGCTGGGACACTGGTCTGTTCGTGACCCGGCATACTCCTCGACCTGGTGTCGTCGCTGTTGGGCGTGATGATTGGCGTGACCGTTACGGTTGACGACAGCTTCCTTGGCCGATTCAGTGTTGCTGGATCATAGGGGCCGCCCATTTTCTTGTGGTGCAGAGGCGAAGTGTCAAAACCTGGAGGAGCTGATCTTGGGACCCTGTTGTTCGGGCGCTGTGACCTTGTCATGAAGCCGGTGGTAGGCTGATCAAGTTCGAGGGGATAAAACTCGGTGGCAGCACCGTAATATGATGGGGCACCCCGGTTGGGCATGGTTGTGGTAGCCATGATGGAATCTCGTGATTGTGGGGGCACGTTCAGGTGGCTCTCATCTCTGAGGTTGTAAAAGGTGGCCGGCGAAGCAGAGTATCGTCTTTTGTGCTGAAGTTTGCGAGGTTTGCTACACAAGGTGTAATGTCAGAGAGTTGGCGCTTGCAATGCAATGCAAAAAATAAAAAAGATGGTATCATCAAGCACAAGCAGGCGGGATATCAAAGAGCAGGGCAAGCAGAAAGATATTTCGCGGAGCAGTCATCCGTCAGCGTCAGTAGAGACAAGAGGTGCCGGCACAGCAACAAGTGCAGGGGGATGCCTCGATGACTTAAAAGGGAACAAGAAGAAGCAAGACAGGCAAATTGCCGTGCACGTTTCTGCCATCCCATCTCTCCCAAGGCTCGGCGCGTGGCCAAACCCCCATGCTAGTAGGTGTTGGCGGACGTGCGGTAGCGCGCCTGGGGGGGGGCAGGAAAGGAAAGGATCCGGGGACCGGCGCTCAGATTCTCGATTGAGATGTTCTGAGATTCGTCCCCGTTGCAGTTTAGGGCCTGTGGGATGACGGAGGAACCCTGCACAACAGAGCGAAAAGCTCCGTGGCGGCCACTTGGCGAAGACATTCTCGTGGGCATCGGGCGGCCCTAGCACAAGGCTCTGGGGTGGGAGCTGGAGGTTTTGGCTCGGCCGTCGAAGCAGCCCTTGTCGCTAGTGGAAATTGCGAGCTTCCGTATTGGCCTGGTCCCCTTTTCAGGGGTGGACTCGGCGCTCGGCGCGCTCGCCCAGTGGCCCAGCGGCCCAGTAGAGGGGGCGGGTGACGAGCAACACGAGAAAGTTGCATGAAGTTTTGGGCCTTCTCGCTCGGCGTCTGGCATGCCAGGATGACTGGACAAACAAGTAAGTCCCTCACACGGTCATCGTGCGCATCGCTGTTGCAGTCATGATGAGCTGGCTTGCCTGCATGCTGTCGATGTCCTGATGTCCTCAAGATCTCAAGATGAGGCGAAACAGTCGAGTGTAATGATCGTCCTGAAGGGCAGTGCAAGTGAGACCCTGAGGGACGTGGTAGTCGCTAGGTGGTTCCCGCCCGGAGGAAAAGTAATGCAATGTAACGCGAGACCAGGTGCTGAAGGCGGCATTCGAAACGGGATTCGTGATTAGACTGATGGGGAAACCGTTGGATGGAGTGCGACCGGCGGTGAGTGGATGCAGAGACAACAGGAGAGACGCCAATCTCAACTAAACACCCTGGCGGTCTCTGTTGACCCCGGCTTCATGATCCTCACAGTCTTGCCTCCTCCTCTGTCATCTGGGTCGTACAGTACTCGGCCGGTCACTGGCCCGACACCGACCACGGCCTGGCCAGGCAGGTAATTGGGTGTGAAGGTGTAGACGAAAAGAGTCGAAACAGCGAAAGCAAGGCAAGAGCCAATGAAACACTCGCAAGACAACAAGACAAGAAGAAGAGAAGCACACAAGACTTACCGAACCGATGATTGGCCACTCTTGAGACCAAATGAGCCGGCTTCGATGTTCCGCTGCAGCTCCTCGATCTGCTTCGTGTCGAGCACGGGTAGCGAGTTGCGGTACAGCACAGCCTGGTGGCCGCGGCGTTTCTGTTCCATCTGCTGGTGGTACTGGCGGTGGGCATCGTGAAGGTAGTATTGCGGATGGCCGTTCATGGTTGCGGTGGATATGGGATATGACCTGTCGTTGCGCCGTCTTGTGCTGACTGGTTGTGTTATTACGGACACACTCGTGAAACAGGCATCGATCAGCTTGGGCGATGCAGCCGAGGTGAAGAAAGAAATGAAAGGCCGATTCTCCCAAATGGCATACACGTCCTGGCAGTATAAGAAAAGCGTAATGAATGACTGAACGGTTTCGCCGAAGGACAGTCTGGGGACAGACTCAATAGCAGGGTCGTATCGGCGGGTCTCGGCCGTGCTTGAATAAGAGGCCGGGGATGGAGAGTTATATACCCTCAAACGACTGCGGCGTTTGGATGACAGCCCAGACCCGTCCCCATGCCGACTTCAGGCAGATGTCGTCAGCATGAAAGCAAGACTACAGACGGGGCGGAGCCTTTGCAGTGATGGCAAAGGGTTGGCAGGACCGGGCAGTCAAAGCAGGGTCGTGTGGTGTGGAGAGGCCGAAAAACGAGAGGCTGGCTGGAAGGTTTAGTTGCGCTGATTCGCGATGCGTCTACATCCCACTCTCACCCCGGCGCTTGGGACTGCCACCCTAGCTGCGATATGGGGCAAAGACGATTCCTGCCGCTGACCTGACGATGAATGGGTGACCCAAGTAGCTTCTCGATGCAGTCTCATGCGCATGTGCGTGTTTGGGCGCTATGACTGAGCAAAGCATCTCCTCGTGAGTCTGTCTCTCGATGCTGTAGATCATGCCAGCACGGTATAGTACCAGCGGCGCGTTGCTCAGCTTCGGGGCTGGATGCTCCAGCACTCTCTGTGATGGCCGTGTTGGAAGCTGTCTAGTGCTGGGCCTTGAGAGCTTCAAAGATAGGGCCCTTCCAAAGGCCATAAGCAGTAGTTCTCCCTCCTTGGCCTCGACACCAGGGCGGGCTACCGGCGAGAGTTTCTTGTTCTGGCATGCCTTCTGAAACTCAACCTGTCCAACATGTAGCGCTGCACTCGCAGACTGGCGTCTTGTGAATAGGCCGAGTTGCGAGTCCGGGCGTAGAGCAGAGCGGGGTTGGCCCTGGCAACACATGGGGCCATGACATGGGATAATGTGATGGCATTTGGAACATCGTGATGACGATCAAGATGTTGGAAGAGATATCCACCGCGGTGCGTAAGGCGCGCCATCGAAGCGCACTATGTACATGTACAGAAGAGCTGTTGACGGAGTGGGGGCACAAGCTCTGGTGGAGGGCGGGGTACCTGGCAAAGGCCTGGCAAAGGCCTGGCAAAGGCCTGGCAAAGGCCTGGCAAAGGCCTGGCAAAGGCCTGGCAAAGGCCTGGCAAAGGCCTGGCAAAGGTCCTGCCTGCGTCTGCCGGGCAACCGTTGCCTTACCTAAGGCAGCCACAGTCGAGGACTCGACAGCTCCTTCCTCCTTGCATCTAGGTGGGCGTGCCTGCTGGGGCAAGTCTCAAGTCCCTCGAATCTCATCCTCCCAGATCATCCCCTCCAGCTCCTACCTAGAGACAAGCAATCACCTTCTTCTTTCAACCATGCGCTCCGCCAAGACCCTTGACTTGCTGCTCACCGTGGTCATGCACACGTCCCTCTTTGTGGTCCGCCCCCCCTTCCACCACCCATCACCGCAAATCTTCTTCTCTGGTCTTTTCAGGGACAGGACCCAGGCTCCTCCCAACTCCCAACCTCCTCGCTGCTGTCGGCGCTAACCATTAGGCGGATGCACAACACCCAAACCATGCGGCGAGCTTACGCACCAGCCAGCCCCATCCTCATGCACAGCCAGTTACCCACCCAACGAGCTGCATCATGCCTCACGGACTTCCCACCAAGCGAATCGCACCTCTGGCGAGCTCATCACGAACCCATGGTCCGGTCACGCCAAATTTGGAACCCGGCGGCCAACCTCAAACCATGTGCTCATCCATTCGACGGACAGGCTGCACCGAATCACCTTTATCTCGCACTCTCCTCACCTTCACCCATGCCAACCGAGCCGAACGACAAGGCGTACCCTCTGCCTCCCAAGTCTGTGTGGCAAAGCGCCGGCGCTTCTGCTTCTGGGTTAGTATCGCCCGTCAACGCAGGTACGCGGTGCAGTGGGGTCGACGGCCCCGATAATCTGGAAGGCTGGGAGGGTCCGCTGCTCCTGTTGGGATTCGCCGGCTCTTTCCGTGAAAGGGGCGAGTCGAGACTTTGCTCTGCCATCGGAAGCGAGATCATACTCATCAGATGAAAGCCTCTTTCGAGGCATCGCCTCTTTCGAGGCATCGCCCCCGGCTCGTTATGAAGCAAACGCCAGATGCCTAGCTTGCAAACACATTCTAATCTCACAGACAGCACGGTGAGATCGCGGATCCAAGCTCTTCCTCCAACCACTCGACCAACCAACCCTGCCTCTCCTTCTTAGCTCAGGCGAAGCGTATGCGCCTTGAGACCGGCTCGCTTTCTTCTGCCTGCTCTCCCTCTGGCTCACCCGGCTCCCTGGGACTCATGACCGCGCCATGTGGCCGCTTCGCTCGATTTGCCAGTCCATTCGCTGTCCCTGTGGCCCCGTTACGTGCAGGCGTCTCATCCAATACCGTGGCCCGGGGTATAGCCCCATCAGTTATCCAAAGGTCTTCGTCAGGGTGCACAACTCGTCCGAAGCCCCTGCCGAAGATTGGCTGTGGGTGCCTCAGAGATGCTGTCTGCGCTAGTCCTTCATGCTGGCCTTCTGGCATTGGCAGGAATCCAGGATTGCGGATGTAGTTGAATAATGGCCGATCATCGAGAATGCTTTTGCATTTGGTGTGCTCTGCTTGACTCATCTTGTGCTTGCGCTTGATGATAACCTCCTCGATACTACCTCGAAGTACTAGTGTCTCTACCGAAACGGCCTTCTGCTGGCTGATGCGACGCGCTCGACCGATGGCCTGTGCCTCTACCTGGGGGTTGAGGACGGGGTTCAGGAAGTAGATGCGCGACGCTGCCCGCATGTCAAGGCCATATGCAGCCTGCGTTATGTCCATGAGTATGACACTGTGATGCATTTCCCATTAGCATCCGGACATGTAAGAGTGTCAGCCAACATACCGAAACTTGGTGTCGTTGTTGAAAGTGTTGATGTATTGTGACTTTCGCTTTTGTGTCAACGTCTTGGCGTAGATGAGATATTCGATCTGAATCTATTACATGTCAGTCAGTCAGCGTCTATCGTACTGTTGTCATCCAGACGTGGGGAAACGAACGACATCCAGCATGCTAGCAATGTACCACGCCGTATTCTCGTTTTCATAGAAGGCAATGATCTTCTCGTGTTCGTGATGTTCAATGATTGCATCGAGTAGATACGTCATCTTCGCCGACGCCGTAGCCACGAGCTCCGCCTTGGCAAACGCCTCGGGGATCACAACATCAGCATCACTCCGCTTCTGTTCACATCCAAGCGAGGCTTTCACCGCGTTCGTCCGCAGCTTCTTGAGGCTCTGGTCGTCGCCGAGCTTCGTCTTTCCGGCGAGCGTCTTGTTTCTCGCCGCCGCCGCCGCCGCCGCCGACCCGCGAGGGATGCTGTCTTCCTTGGCCTCCGACTCAACCTGATCGCGGTGCCGCCGGCCTGCGGCGAGAAATCCTCCGTTGAGGAGACTGTTGAGGGCCGTCTCATCACTGAGAGCGGGGCGGATGAGCTTCTGCGCGGCCATGATCAGCGGGGCGTTTGTGCACACCGGGTCGTCCGCCGCGTGGTCAATGGACCACCCTGCTCCTGCGCCGCCGGGAAGGAAATTGCGGACGTAGACTGGCATCTCGTGGAAAGCGTTACTCAGGCTCTTGAGAGGATTCTCAAGAGCGAGCTTCGCCACATCCATAGCCCGACGGAGCTGGGCCTCGTCTTCGCTGCTGATTGGCACTTTACTATCGTGCAAAAAGGTGACGGCCGTTTCGAGAGGTGTGGCAATCTCATCATGCGAGAAGAAGGACCCTCCGAAGAAACACGCCTGCTTGAGGTTGTGTACTAGCTGAAGCAGGAACTTGCGGTTGCGCTGGTGGAAGAAGTAGTCGGCGTCTGTCCTCTGCGACAGCACCGCGTTGGCGACGATGACCATGGAGAAGATGTTGAGAGAAAGCTTGTCCTGGTAGGAGCCGTCGAGGAAGACAGTCTTCTCATCAACGTCCGGAAGCACATGTGTCAGCTCCGAGAGACGGTGCCGGATGATGAGCGAGTTGAGCGTCGCCCGCAGCGCCGTACTGCGGCCGGCACCACTGGCGAGGTGTCTCGGCTGCATGACGTAGACGGACCAGGGCGACTTGCTGCCATGGAGGCCGCTGTTGGCCCATGGGCGGGCTTTGAGATAGAGGGTCGCTATCGCTCCTATCCTTGCCAGATCGCCCTTCTCCGTGACTCGCAACTGCTCCGCTTCCAGCTTGGTAGCCTCTTGATCGTCTGGGTCCTTCTCGTCTACTCCATAGAGCCCCTTGGAGGGTGTACCGCTGACAACCCATCTGGACGATGTGTGGATGTTGTCAAGTCCGAGGAGGAAATCACTCCGGGCGTTATGGGTAGAGTTGCCGAGCTTGTGGCCTTCGTCAACGATACACCGCTTGAAGAGAATGCCTCCCAAGGGGTTCTCTTCCCACGTGCCAGCTCTGACCATCCTTTCCAGAAGAAAGTGCGTGAGAAATATCACATCATAGAGCGCGAGCTCACTGACGGCAGGTACGGGATCCTTGTCGTGCAGAACAAGAACGCTGAGACTGTCCGTTGTGTGCAACTTGACTTCGCCTTGCCATTGCTTGAGCAGATTGTTTGGTACAACAATCAGCGAAGAATGGCTGATGGTGATCTTTCTTGCATCCGCTGGTTCGGTGCTGGTTCGACCCCGCCGGGAAGTGTTGGATAAGGGCAGCCGGTAAAAGCCGGGGTTGCGACTGAGTACCTCGACACATGCCGAATGCTCCAAGCCCGACTCTGCACCAAAGTAATATCTCCATGGAAATCCTTCGGCTGTAAGCTTGGCAGCGGCCATGTCAGCGAGCGATCTGATCCGGCCCGTCTCAGTGCGGTCGCGGAGGCAATGGGCAGGGACCTGTGTTGGCAGAGACTTGGTCGCGAGGATCAGAGCGAGGCAGATCAGGGTCTTGCCGGCGCCCATCTGCTCGGCGAGGATGCCGCCCTGGACGCCGTCGTAGTAGCGCGGCTCTCGCAGGATAACACATGCCGCGGCATCGTAATACCAATCTTCTCCGGCCTGGTCTTTCACTCGGAGGAGTCGAGGGTCGAGCGATTTCCCAGGCTGAGCTTCCCTCATGGCCATCAAGGCTGCGGATCGACGCTGGTAGGGATAGAGTGATGTTTTGAGACCTCTGACTTTGCTGACGAGTAATTGGTCGACTGACTCCCGCCTGGAAGGGTCAACAATCGTGTCCGGGTCCGGGTCAGGAGAGGGAATGTTATTGAACATCTCTAGCAAAGAAAGCTCTTCTTCGGTGGTAGATTCTGCGGGCTCTGGACTTGATCGAGGGGTTGTCCCAGGTCTGCCGCTCCACGCTTCTGGAGAAAAATCGAGCATGGTAAAGAGGGCTCGACGGTCCTTCTGCAGCTTGACATCTGATCTCGGGACATTGTTGTTGTCAACGTCGTCGGGAAGGATGTATACTCTGAGAACCTCTGCTGAGCCGGATAGTGCAATGTGCTCCAATCGGATCCAATTTGATTCATAGAGACGTGAAAGGCCATCTCGGAGCGAGAACCTAGCACGGATATTCGGAGGCACCGCGCAGCCCTCGGGCGTCCTGCTCTTCACTGACGTGTCTTCTCCTGGTATATTCCAGTTGTGGAGGACTGTTGGCGCTGTATTTCGTGATGGATTGACGATGTCGTCGCCAATCAGGCATCCCACTGGAATGTACCCATGAAAGCGGGATGCCATCTTCTGAGCTACGCGAGCGCAACTGCAACAGTGAAGGAGTGAAAACTGAAGTATGGCAGATGATGGATCGATGGATGAACGATTAGCAATGCTTGCTGGATGAGGTTGGCTTGTTGAGGTGAGTGAGTGCTATTGGAAGGCTGGGCTGCAGTTGCCTTGAGAGGTACAGTCAGAGCATGACTGAACACTGTATGCCCTGGTCAAGTCGTATGGCAAACCCAACAAATTTCCAACGACACAGTGCGGGTCACGTCCCCACTGTGTTGCTGCCTACAATCCGTGGCATGAGAATTGAACATGATGATCATCAATCTTCACCAACTTTATCACCATGAGGCACAATCTCACTTTTGCTTTTTGCTATTGCAACTTCAATGTCCGGTCTGTGGATTGACTACATCTTTCTTCTGCCGAAGCAGGTACCTGCCAAGAAAATAAAAACGAAAGTACGGGGTATCCCTCATCATAATCATCAAACGCCGAGTTCCCAATGCCATGCCCCCCTAGCCGCTACAATGCAAAGAGTTCCAAATACCAAGACTCGAACAAGACGTCTCCCCAGAGTCAGCCGCTACAATCACACAGCCGGCTGGTACACCTTGACCGAGTTGATCAGCCAGTACGCCTCGGAAAAGGCCCCGGGGTGGTTCGCCGCAAAGTCGTCGCACGTCGGCGCCAGCGCCGAGCACTCGGGGTTCTCGCTCCAGACCTTGCCCGCCCACTCGCCGCACAGCGCAATGTTGAAGACGAGGTTGTTCTGCCTGAAGTGGTCCGGGATGCTGCAGCCCTCGCCGCCGTTGAAGCGCGCGACGGGGAGGCCCCAGGTGGCGGGGTTGGGCGTGCCGGCGGCGATGTCGGCGGGGATGGCGCCGCGCGGGAAAAAGTACACCGAGATGTGGTCCGGCGTCCAGTCGACGGCGTAAACGCCGCCGCCAATGGCGTTGAAGCCGTCGCCGTAGTTGAGGTTGCTGGCCGTGCGCTGGGTGCAGCCGACAAAGGCCTCGCCGGCGTTGCAGTCGTTCTTGTCGAGCGTGGTGGAGGGGTCGGTGCCTTCGTTTGTGATGGAACAGCCGGGCCCTGTGTGGAGGGTGACCTTGTTGCTCTCCTGCGTGTTGACGCCCTCGATGATATCAATCTCGCCACCGTGAGGCCAGTCGGGACCAAACATCCAGAAGGCACCCCATACACCACACGAGTTGGCGGGCATGTGCGCAATGTCGGCGATGAAGACGCCGCCATCATAAGCCTTGTTCGAGGTCAGGCGGACTGAACGGCGGTTGTCGCCTGGAGTGGTGTAGTCGACGCCGAGGAAGACGCCATCGTTGGCAAAGCCGGCCAGGGACTGGTCGTTGGCCTCGGACGCGTTGACGTAGCGCTGAAACCCCTTGGTAGGATCGGGCGCGTCAAAAAAGCTGAACTCGTTGAAAAAGTTGGTTCGGTCGTAGTTGTCGTGCAGAACATATTGCTGCTGGGCGTGAGTGACGGTGACGAGGGCGCCGAGGCCGAGAGTCAGATGTTGTAGATGCATATTGCTTGATATATTGCTTCGTTGCCGGGCTCCTCGATGAGAATAGGTTGCTGAGTTCTGTGTTGAGACAAGAGAACAGACAGTATACACGACAATGACCAGGTGAAAGAATGCTGTGGGAAAACGAGCGCCTCAGGTTGATGCTCGCAGTGGTGGTGTTATGACACTGATGATGATACGAGTCTCTTCTGCGTTTCCGTGGTAGGAAGGAAGGAAGCAGGAAGGAGAACGGACGAATCCTTAAATGAATGACGAGATGAAGAGGAAAAGAAAAACAGGAGGCTGTGTAGACGACAGGCCACCTGATAGAGAATGGAGATCCTGTAAGGCTTTTCTTGGTTTTCTTGGCCTGGGACGATATGGAGAGAGACCAACGGCTCTAGGCTCCAATCAAAGAAACTGTGACGTGAAAAACAGGGAGTGTGGAAGGAACCAAGAAAGCTGAAGACCAGGCCTCGTGACGCCAGGCAGGCTGGGCAAGTGCAGTTAATGAAATGGAGCATGACGCTGGTGCAGTGAAGCAGTGCACGACAAACCCGAACCGGTGGCCAGAGCAGCTGAATCATTTTCCACCGCAGGGAATGCAAAGTGCTGTGCACCAAGCTGCTACTACACAATCGACGCCTGCTGGGGAGAAAACGGCCATCGTGGCAGCCTCATGGCGGCCCGAAACAGGAAACAGGGGCGCCTCAGAGACCGCAATAGGTGTGCAAGGTGAGACGCCTGGAAGGCGTCTAACGGCTGGGGAGTTCCAAGTATGCGGTTTTCCCTGATCCAGGAGGACCCTTGACATGCCAGTCTCGCGACTGACAGGCTATGGTCTTCCGTTGAAGCGAAAGCTGATCGGTTCCGGCACCTCCCTGTCTCGCCTTGGCAACGTCGGCATTCCAGTCGATGGACGACGGGGCTGGACCTCGGGACTCCTTTAAAGGGTTTTCATGTTGCGGCATACGATCAGGGCGTTAGCCTCGAGGGCTTGACCTATTCATCTGGCCATAGTCCGTTCATTGTACACGATCAAAGGGTTGATGTATGGTTCAAACTCGCCTTGTCGAGCTATCGTCGAGGGGGTCGTTTGTCGTTTGTCGTTTGTCGTTGAGCCATGGCCAATCAAACCCGTCGAACTTGGTCAGGTTGAGGCGTTCTGTGGCGCCAACGTTCCTGACCGTGGCTTTGTCATCAGGCGCTTGCTGCCCTTCGTCTTCAGCCTCTCGTTCACAACACAACATTCCGGCATGAAACCCCCCTCGTTAAAGCTCGGCTATCTTGGCGACCATCCATCAACCGGAATGGAGGGGGTTAGGACATGGCGATTGGCGTCATGGGAAAGCATCGGAACCCCTCTCCTCTCGACCTAACCCTTGCTCTTAGTATCGAGCCCCTCCCGTTCTTCACTGCGTCGATCCCACGACGGCTGCCAGATCGATCGCCAGGGGTCCTTTGTCTCTTGATTTCTTTCCAACATGCTGTGCAATCACTAAGGTCTGACCAGTAGATCAACATTCATAGAAATTTTCTTTTCTTTCAAAGAATAAGCAGACAAACACGCTAAATACATCAAAAACACACTACAGGTACATCCTCCGTGGCGGCGCTGACAGTCCGTTCTGTTCAACATCATATCCCACACTCGAATAGTTCGACGCACCGTCCGGCTCGGCCTCCAGACTCCTCGATCCGGGTGTCCCAGCTGTCCCAGATTCTGACGTCTTGCCCAACGGCCAGGCGTCAGTCCGCGGCGATACTAGTGTCGCTGATGTCGCTTCTGATGGCGACGATGACGTGTGCCTCTCCTTCCAGTCTTCCTCAGCCGACTCCTCCTCGGGGATCTCGCGCAGCTCCATGCGTTCGCTGTCCTTGCGGTCGGCATCCATGATCACCGTTGATGCCCTCTTAGTCTCGAGCTTGCTGCCCCAGACGCCAGTGCTGCGCGCGTCGGCCGATGAGTTGAGCCGCTTCGAGGTCAGTGTCGCGTGGATGTCGCGCAAGATGGGTCGGAGGATCGGTATGCACTGCACGATGATGGTGCCCGTGATTTCAGATGAGTACCAGACTTGAGACAGGCCGTTGCGATCTGGCATGTCGTTAGCAAGAATGTCGCCAAAGGTGGCAATCGTCGTCACACTTGCAGATGTAGTACGCGTCGCGGTCGTTGCCCTTGTCCTTCCAGGACACACGGATGGCTGACACGATGGCAACACTGTTTGCAGTGTCAGCACTGAATGGTACGCCGGGTTTCAGGTCGCTGGATAAACTTACATCATGCCTAAGCTCATCGTCAGACTGAGGCCGATCTTCTCAACCCTTCGCATCTCGAGCGATCGCGTGATCAGCCACGGGAAGCAGGCAAAGACGAAATCCATGATAATGTTGTACACTGTTTCCTCCTGTCAGCAAATTCGAATCCTGCTTGGCCGAAAGCGCAAGACACGAACCGTTGCCGCCCTCCTTAAACTTGTCCCGGAAGCTCCAGTAGATGCAGAAATCAAGGCGATACCAGTTGTCGTAGCCGTTCTTGTCGCACACCTTGGCCCACTGGAACAAGACCTTGAGGACCATGTATAGGTTCATGGTGACAATGCAGAACCACAGCACCCATTTCTGCCACTGGTTGCTCATGCGAAGGAGCGTCACCGCAAAGGCTGTCTTGGTCAGGGCCTGGCCGATGAGGGTACCGCATGATGAAATGTTGATGAGAATGTGCATGCGATCGTCCCACTCCATGGCCGAGTTCTCGAGCACGTAGCCCGTGGCGAACTGATGAACGATCAAAGCATTGTTGGCGAGCAAGATGCACTTTGGGGTGTCGCGTGTCAGTGAGATGCCCGTATCCAGCAAGTGCGGAGGCAGAGCTGCCACGAAAGAGTTTGGAGAAAATGAGAGGTCGCGCGACTCACCCACGAAACGAGCAGGATATAATCATCGTACCAGAGGCCGTGACGACGGGTCACCTTGACCCAGAGTCGCAGGGCCAAAAAGATAGTCGCACCGGCGAAGAGCGACCAGAGGCCGGCGTTCAGTTCAGTCCATGGGTTGACAAAGGTATGAGCCTCTTCAACATCTTTGCGTGCCGTGAGATGCATGGTTACATAGCGGCCGTGTCGAGTACGATACCAGGGGTGGTGAGGCAACGCGTGGTAGCGAGGAGGCGGCGCCCTCTACACGGCACGGGGCCAGGGCGAAATGATCCAAGGGGAGAGTTTGTGAGTTTGATCTCTCTCTTTCTGATGTCGAAAGGCAAATGGGCAAAACAGAGGAAAGGGAACAGGGGCATGGAAGGGGGATTCGCTGGGAATATTAAGAGTGAAGGGGAACGCCCCAAATTGCCAGTCACACACGAGGGCCAACGTGCAGACAGCATGCAGACTGCATAGCAGACACACAGAGAGAATCCAGGCCCGGGGACCCCGCGAAGTGTTGAGTGAGCCAAGCCCGAAGGTCCACCTTGTGATGTTGTCTGCTGGGGATTGCTTGTAGAGGCTTGTGATTAGCGTTGGAAGTTTCACGAGGAAACCCGGTTCACCGGCGAGCAGGGGGGAGGATCTGACCACGCCTGGTAGACAAGACATGCCCATTTACGAAGCCCTGGCAAAGGCGATCTCTCTTGGCCCCCTCCCCTCACCTTTCTTCCCCTCCCCCCCCTGCACTACTGTTGGTGTGTGATGGGTGATTGGTGGCGCGGAGATAGTTATGACTGTCGAGGAAAGGCTTGCTTATGCTTCGATATTGTACGCCATATTGCACACAGCATCGGACGAGCGGTGCCGTAGGGTTGGCCCAGCGGCACATCTTGACCGACCGGTTGGTCTCCAACATGGGAGCACTCTCTTGCCTCCTCTTGCTTGCTTGTTCCTTACTCGCTCGCTCACTCGCCTGGTGTGGTAGCAAGTATGACGCCTATCCCATCGGAAACTGACTCGGTTTCGGCAATCGATCACTTCAGAAGGGTCGAGCGCACCCGCCAGCGTCCATCTAAGCCTTTCTTCTGCCGTCTGCGAACTACTGACCTTAACGAGCTGTCACGCTTCATTAGCAGGTTACCATCGGATCTCACTACCACTTAGCACCTAGATTGAAACCGACCAATCTCTGAAACCCTCTCTCTCTCTCTCCTGCCCACCCTCGATGAGCCTACTTACCATCTAGCGCCCATCGCAGGTGCTGGGCAGAAAATATCGAACTGATTCCGATACAGGAACGGTCTGGTCCATCAGACGAAAAGCCCCTCACCCTCAAAGGTCCCCATCGCCGAGTCTCGACACAGCCACAGGAGAAAGTGTGTGCTGAGTCTGACCCTGACTCTCAATCTTCGCTCTTCCCACCACCCCGGTCCTGGATGCGAAGCGAGGAGGAAGAGGAAGTGGAGGAAGAGGAGGAGGAGAGGCGCGCCTTTCCCTGGTCGCCTTGGCGCTGAGGAGGCAACGGTTTCCCGTCCGCCGGTGACCCAAGAATGGAGACCTTCTCCGCGATCTCCCCTGCTTGGTGCCTCTGGGTCGACCAACCGCCAAGGCGAGCCCCACCACTCCAGCCCACCACGGTCGTCCTTCAACCTCGTCCCCGGGCGAATTGTAAGCTCGCTTTCAGATGAGACTAAGCCTAGAGGGTTCCAGATGCGTGCAGCCGGCAGATGGACGGAGCTGTCTGTGCCTGGCAGACCACACTGGAGAAGAGCGGGCCCCATCCTGTTCGTTGATGCCTGCCAGTGGTTCCACGGGGTCCCTCTTCTCACCCCTTCTCATCAGAGACGGTGGGACGGCACGCTAAAAGCTTAATCAAGCGATGGGATATACCCCGATGGAGCCAGTCTGATTGATTTTCTCGGCATGGTGGTGATGATGTCGAGAACGGTGCCCATTTTTTTTTTTTTTTGGTTTCCTTCCAAAACGTAGCAGCAATTGATTAAATTGGCATGTGCGTCCCATCTACCCGCCACGCCGGGATCGACTGGTCTGACGACGAGTGCTAGGGTAAGAGCGAACGAGGGGTGGGGCCCGGGCTCAATCTCGATTAAGAAGGAAGGCAGGGCCACGCACAGCAAAAGAGAAAGAGAGAGCGAGGACGGGGGGAGGAACAAAACAAGAACAGCTTAAGAGCCATATTAATCGTGTTCATCTGCAGGCCCGTGACGGCGCAGCCCGCCTCGCTCCCGCGCACAAGTGAAAATCTTGGTTGGCAAGGTTGGGTCCTGGCCCCGCCCATGTTCGTTTCTGGCCCGACCCCTCCTTCCCTGACTTTTGTTGATCATATTCCCCTGCCTCGCACATTTGCCTCGACGCTTCGCATGCTAGTGGTGGAGGAGGGAAGGAGGGGGGGAGGGCTTCTGTGTCTCACTCGTGGTACAACTCGGGCCCTGGCTCCCGACTCTAATCCTCATGGGGAGGCGAGGCTGCAGCCACGTGCGGAATGGCTTCTCGTCACATGGCGGGCTGGGCTGCTAGCTGCGAGCTGGACGTGTTTGACGATTGAGAGACTCGACCGACCTAGAAAGCCCTTGTACGGATCGGGAGGCCGGGAGGGGAGATTTGAGCTGAAAATGGTTAAATGGAAGGAAAGTGCCACGTTCATTGGGCGCACCTGCCCTCCAGCCGTCTGGCCTGGACGGCATCATGACCTGGGGCAAGAGCAGCGAAAGAGGAAAGGTCAGAGGAGCGAAGAGCGAGGAGCGATGGCATTGGAATGATCACGAGCAGGAAGAAGGGAGCAGCAGGCAAGTGCGACCAGGAGGCGCATAGCACCAAAGCGCACAGCACAGCACGGACAGCACAGCACAGCACGGACAGCACAGCACAGCACATCTCCGGCACAGCTGCACGTTACAGAACAGGGAGCACAGGCACAGCAGCAACATCAACCATGTTCTCGCCAAAGCTTATGTCATCGACCCTCTTTGGCTCGAACACGCCTCGAGCTCGAGAGGGGGAATCCCTCCATCTCTTCCCCTCCCCCTGGCTCAGACCACGGCGATCATCGGTTTCGAACTCGTCATCGGCCCCGCTGCCCCTGCTGCGGCGTCGTGTCTTTTTTGGAAACTCAGTCCCGATGAAATGGCATGTGGGCGCCATTCGGGCTTGATCTGATACCAGACGGACGGACAGACGCCTGTCATTGCAGTGCAATACACGTGTAGCAAGCCGGGGGTAACCTGGATCCCGAATGTTCCCTTATCGCGACACACAAGAAACTCCGAGGGGCGAGCCAGATGACTCGAATTCACTTGTCCGCACCGCAGTCAGGGGCGGGACAATTTCCATCCACGTTGGGTGATACAAAATTGTCCCACGCTGGAACGTATGGCCCGTCGATGACAGGCCCGGACGTCATTCCAAACTCTCAGTGATGGTTCAATCCGGCTGCTGGCAGAGTTGGCGGACCTTCTCGCCCGTCGACTCTTTTATAAGTTTTTCATAAGGTACTGTTGACAAGATGGCATTGCAACAAAGCTGGACACGCCGCCAATGCTTTCCATGCCAGAATAAGGTAGCTTATTACAGCACTTCTTTCTCCCATTTGGATCGAATCTTCGCAACATGGCCCACCGTGAGACACAGACGTACTCGCATAGTCTGGCGAAAGCCGACGTCCTAGCGGTCACGGCCGCAGCGCCAAGCGATGATGGTTCCGTGTTGGACCTAGGTTGGAATCAAAAGCCAGAGCACGACGCCAAACCTTGGATCAAAGGCATGCACAACGAGGATGTCTGGGTACTTGTGCGAAGATTGAATAAGGTCACAGCCGCTTGGCGCTCTCCCGTTTGCCCGCCACGGGAACCATCGGTGCTAACCCATGACAGGAAGTGTACGAACTCAAAAAGACTGATCATGTCCCCTACGGAGGCCTCGATCTCGTCGTCGCCCGGGATTCAGAGTGCTCGCCAAACAAGTTGCGCAGTGAGGTGGAGAGGCTGTACATGGGCATGGTATGTGATTGCCTCCCCTCCCCTGCCATGTCCTGGGCCATTTTCATTTATTCTGACTCGGGCAATGCCACCAGCTGCTCGGACTATTTGCGCTCGTCAAGACTCTTGCTCGACTCCGCTCATGGCGTGAGCCAGCAAGAACAGCTGCATTTGGACTCGTAAATAAACCCCCATGCTGCTGTATCCCTGGCCGCGTTACAGTGCTGACGACCCGCCAAGACGTACTTTGCCGCCTGGACACTTGATTGTCTCATGCCACTCCTCATCGTCGCAACCATTGCCCTCGTCGTCTCGCCCCGGGTACGAGTCGTGCTTTTTCCGCCGGCACCGCTGTCCATGGTCGACATGACCACCGGCGGCGTGGCGAAGCCCATGGCCGGCACCCTCGGGTCGACCGATGCCGCGACCGGCGCCCCACAGAACCTCAAGGGTGAAGCTGTGGAAAACGAAGCGAGTAACTTTGTGACGAGTGTCGCTGCGATCGCTACCAATTTGATGATGGGACAAGACCCTCACGGCGCGCCTTTCGAGCAGGAGGGTGGCAGCAGGGACGGGTTCAAGCCGCAATTTGATGTGACAACCATGGCCGTCGTGAAAGACAAGGCGGAGGGTATGGATCGGCCGTCTCAGGACAAGACGAAGGCACCCATGGAGGAGGTGGTGCGTTGATCCGCGTGCTCGTGTTCTGGGGTGCTGTTGCTAAAGGCACCACAGGTCTGGCACCAGATGACGCCGCTCTTGCATCTCCTTATCCTGACGTCCGATACCTGGGAGAGATTGGCCAAGTACATCATTCTCCCGTGCTCGAGCGCCGTGAAAATCCTGACTGTGTGTAGCATTCTGGTACCGACCCCTCCGTTTGATCGACAAAACCACCGCATTCGACTGGCATGGTATCTCGTGCCCCTGGCTGCACTGTCGCTGTTGGTTACACGCGATGTCGCTGTCAGGGCCCTGACTTTTGTCGTTGGTGTCTTGTTGTTCGGCGAACCCCTCGTCTCCCGCGCCCTTAGAAACTTGGCGGGCAACGATTGGACTAATTACTTTCACCTCAACAAGTACGTCTCGGATCAAGTTCACACTCCGGAAACCGTGCTAAACCTCCCAGCACCATCTTCAGGGGCGTCCCCACCGACCTTCAACTCGCTCTGACACTGCTCCGCCTCGGTGAGGCCCATCGAGCCCCGTTTCCTCCTCCAGCGCGTGTCCACCAGCCTCCGCCCGATGAACCTATCGATATCAACGAGACTGTTATTGATGCCTCGGCCGGTGATCAGCCCCTTGGCGCCTCCGCCGATGAGCTGCAGCACACAGCCGACCACGATGCTGCGCAAGCAGACCATGCCGGCGGCGAAGACACAGAAGTCGAGCAGGCCGTGGGCCACGGCAACAAGCGTGAGAAGGTTTTCAATATCTTCAAGGGAAGCGCCAAGGAAGCCGTCAAGGCTGCCGCTGTCGTCGACAAGATCCGCGCAAAGACGGGTGCCACCCATGCTAAGCAGCGCGTTGGTGTGCTGCCGCCGGATAAGAAAGAAAAGGAGGAGAAGAGAGGGTCACATATCGTAGGCCCCGTAGAGTTCAGCGCCCGATATGAGGGGACAGCTGGGTACGTATACGTCAATTCGGCAGCTGACGAGCCGTTTCTGGCATTTAACAAGTACAGCATCCGTACGCCCATCTCGAAAAAGGAGGACCTGAAGACGCTCTGGGTGGTGAACATTGAGGACATTGAGCAGCTCAGGAAGCACTCTGGATATGGCATGAAGGCAAAGCTGGCTGCCGGATGGGCGACGGATGGCCCAGTCTACGATGCACTCAGGATCGTCGACAAAAAGGGGGCTGTGTATATTGTCACCAGTCTACCATATCGGGATGCCCTTTTCAATAGGTTGTGTGCCATTGGGAAGCACGCAAAATGGGAAGTCTGGTGAGCTACTGGTTTTGAGCGGACTGTGGCTTCCAGAGAGGGTGCTTGTTACGATTTATGAGATACCTATATAGCTTGGGGAGCATGAAAAGGAATTTACGGCCACGAGTTTCGGCATATGTTCAGAGATTAATCAACTGCTTTGACTATCCGCCCGGTAACTGAAGTTGTTTCGAGCGTAATGGAGACACCAAAGTTAACCACCAAGAGCAATTGGATATTCCATCACCATTTTGGCCGCGGCTGCAATATACGCCACTGTTTGTTCCCATTCCTCATGGACCCGACGCTTCTCGACACACCACAAACCCCGCCCAAGTGCTTCCCTTCCGAATCTCCATCTTTTTCATCCTCGGCATGTGCGTCCTAACAGTCCACTTTATAGTGAA